TTTAAAAAAAAAAAAAAGCCATTTTTTTTAGTCCAAAAAAAAAGCCATTTTTTTTTTAATCTAACACAACCACCAAAATGCTGAGAATAAACCAAGGAAAAGCAAAAAAGACCCTGAAGGAGGTTCGCAAGGTCCCAGAGGGCACGTTGAATGGATCGCTAGAACTGTTTTGCAAATTCAGATGTTGCACAAGGCAGCAAAGCGTGGTTTGAAAACGTGAGCTTAAGGGGATGAGCCGAACGAGGCTCAGATTTGCAAAAATGGCTTAGTTTTCACGGCCAGTTTTACAAGCATCTGTCTTCCCACCCACGAGGCTGCTCCCTTTTTTCTTAACTTCTTCAAACTGGGGGAGATAGCCTCATTCACACGGCATTCATCCCCCTGAACTGGGTTCATGCAAGACACTAAAAGCATAAGCTCTGTTCACAGGACAGCCTAACCCTCGAGCCAACAGATCAGGTTGGCAGCACCTGCTGAACCCAGACAGGCTCTGCTTTCAAATGGTGGTTAAGCTTGGAAACCTGAACCCAGCTGCTTCAAAACTCAGCAAGTCTGCTTGGAGAGTTTCTCAACTTCCTGTTTATCGGTTTCTCGGCTGCTTTTTCCAGACAGAAGGTGCCCTCTGAACGCTTCCTGCCTCACTGCTCAGGTTTCTCCCCGCTTGCTCTTTCCACCCTTGGCAGGGCCAGCCCTTGCAACTTAATTTCCTCTCCTGATTTGTGATGATCCCCATGATTATGGCTTTAAGGACGGGGTGGAACCCCACGGCCAAGGGATGAACAGCTCTGGTTGGGGAGCGGTCAGTGAGAAAAGCGTCATCTTCGTATTATATTGTTATTCTTACTGATCCTGATTGCAGAGGATTCCATATCATCCAATTCAAGGCTCTTCTGGAAGCCCCAGACCCAGAGAAACAGACTGGCTGATTTCACCATGTGCAGTTTGGTTACTGACCCATTAGCCTAGATCAGCACAAAACACTGAACGATCAATTCACCAGAGTGGCTCGCTTGTGTTCACCCATCACATTCCTGCCAGGCCTGACAACAACCAAGATCAAAACTAATCAAGATCAGAACAAATCAAGGTCTATCTAACCAAGGTCCACACTAATCAAGGTCTAAACTAACGAAGATCAAGGTCATTCTAACCAAGATCAAAACTAATCCAGGTCAATCTTATCAAGATCAGAACTAACCAAGGCCCAAACTAACCAAGGTCAGAACTAATCAAGAGCAAGGTCAAGCTAATCAAGACCAAAACTAACCAAGATCAAAACTAACCAAAATAATCTAATCAAGATCAAAACTATCCAAGAGCAAAACTAACCAAGAGCAAAACTATCCAAGAGCAAAACTAACCAAGATCAAAACCCAGAGTCGCTTTGTGAGATGGGCAGCTATATAAATGTGATGTATAAATAAGTAAGTAAAAAAAAACAAGATCAGGACTAACTAAGATCAAACCTGCGGTTCAAGTACAGCTGCAATGACTGGCCACGTTGAATACTGGGACAAAGCCAGCTTGATGGCTATTTCCCCAGGCGAAACCAGATATCTCAGCTTGTTTGCTTCTCCCCATTTCCATATACAGGTTGCCATGGGCGTGGATCACCCAATGCAGCCCCTGGGCTTTGAGGGGGTTGGCTAGTTTGTGGTATTGTGTGAATCCCACCTTCTAGGACTATGGACTTGAACTTGGCACTTATAGGCCCAGATTGCATGGAAGTCCTGATCTCCTCCTTGTGCGGTGACTTTTTCCCTGCTCTAGTCTAAGAAGAATGAAAGGGAAGGTGAAAATGCCTTGGTTGAAAATGCCGCCTTCACCTCTGTTGCCAATGTGGCCTTTAGTGTCTTAGTGGCCTAACGTTCTTAGGATCGGTCCACGGATTTTTCTTGAATCCGGACCTCAACGTCCTGCATCGGATAATTTGGCTCAGCCTTCCCAAACAGCTCTGTAAGAGGCTGTTTCTTGCATGACGTGGGCAATGCGGGTCCTAAACACGGGAAATGTAAAGTGGCAAACGTGTGGGACGTGGGAGGGGAGACCCATGACAGTCCCACCCGTGAGAAGGCAGCCCTCGGGTTCCTGGTCAAAAAGACCTGATGACTCTCTTTCGTTGATTAGAAACCTTGCCATCGGCACCCAGTCAGCCATATTGTACAGCTAGATCGTGCTTTTAGATGATCAAATGCCTTTACGCCACAACCTGAACAGAGCCCTGCATGATCCAGAAACTGGCTTCTCTTGCAAGAGTTCTGTGGAACTGAAAAGCTTGCAAAAGAACCTCCAACCTGCAGTGGATCCGACCTTCTCCAAAATATTTCAGGATGCCTTGGGCTGGACAATGTTTTTTCGTGCTGCACAATATCAAGTGATTTTTGCAACGGAGCCGAATTCCGCATCCTGGAAACGTTTTTTTTAAAATCCTTGCTACAGAGAGAAAACCCCTCCCGTACAAAGCTCTGCATATCTATGCGGAAGTAAGCCTCGCTGAATTCAAGGGAATTTACTCGGCGGTAGGGATGTCTACAATTGCCACTAAACATGGGGGAGTTTTAAATTCATTTTTAAACTCATCCTCTTGCCACCGTGGCAACTGTACATCATGGGAAACTGAACGAACGTCAGTTATTTCTTGAAATACCCATATAACCGTCTCAGCAATGACCTCTCCCTATTTTCCCCAAGCATTGCAGAAGAGATACATTTCCTTTCCTCCCTAAAATCAAGCAGACTTCCCACTGGACGCCCTGTCTAGGTTCACAGACCACATTTTGAGCAGGTGAGGTCAAAACCCAACTGGCCTCTGCACTGGGTTTAGTAACCCGGTTCACCTAACCCGGGCAGAAGGAGTGAAAGGAAGAGGGGCCAAATCCATGGATTAAGTTAAAGACGTTCTGGAAGGGAACTCGTGTCTTCGCAAACCTCTACGCTGATGTTGCTTCCTTGGCAACAAACCCAACCCTGCCTTGGTGCGCAATGGCAATGGCTTGCTTTGAACGTGCTTTGCCAGCTCCCCAATCCTGGAGTTGCTCGGGTCTCCCATCCAAGGACGAAGCAGGCCTGAACCTGCCCGGTTGCCCGAGATCCTCCAAGACTGCCTGAGAACGAACGGCTGGATCCAAATTAAACCTAGCACCCACCATCCTAACGCACGGCCCCGCTTCCCCCTCCGTCCCCTCCTTGGTTACCTTCTGTTCTGGTACCAGGTTTTGACTTGAGTGTCGGTGAGGTTCAGCGAGGCGGCCAGCTCCATCCTGTCCTGGACACTCAGATACTTCTGCCTCTCGAAGCTGCGCTCCAGCTGCGCCAGCTGGTGATCGGTGAAGGCGGTGCGCGCCTTCCGGGGCTTCTTGAGCCGCACCGGCGGGCTCTCTCGGGAGCTGGAGATCTCCCGGTCTCCTTCTTCTTTCACTGGGTGAGGAGAGAAAGGGCGACAGTGGCTCTCGGCTCTTCCGGGTGGAGCGGAGAAGAGAAGAGCGTTGCAGTTGGTGAATGGATGAGGGGAGGGAAGGGAAGGGAAGGGAAGGGAAGGGAAGGGAAGGGAAGGAAAGGAAAGGAAGAGAAAAGGAAGGAAGGAAAAGGAAAGAAAAGGAAAAAAAAAGGGGGAGGGGAAGGGAAGGCAAGGGAAGGGAAGGGAAGGAAAGGAGAGGAGAGGAAGGGAGGAAAGGGAAGGGAAGGGAAGGAAAGGAGAGGAGAGGAAGGGAGGAAAGGGAAGGGAAGGGAAGGAAAGGAGAGGAGAGGAAGGGAGGAAAGGGAAGGGAAGGGAAGGAAAGGAGAGGAGAGGAAGGGAGGAAAGGGAAGGGAAGGGAAGGAAAGGAAAGGAAGTTGGTAAATGAAGAGGGGGAAGGAAAAAGAAGGGGAAGGAAGGGAAGAAAGAGAGGAAGAAAGAGGAAGGGAAAGGAAAGGAAAGGATAAAATAAAAAAATGAAGGGGAAGATAAAACAGGAAGGAAGAGACGTAATGAAGGGGAGGAGAAAAGAAAGGAATGGAAGAAAAGATGGGAAAGATAACAAGGAATGAAATAAAAGAGGAAGGGGAAAATTAAGGTAAGAAAAAAAGGAAGGGGAAGATCAGAAGGAAAGGAAGGCAGGAAAGAAATTAAGGAAAAGGAATGAAGTGAAGGGGAAGAGAAGAGAAGGAAGGAAGGAAGGAAAAGGAAAAATGAGGAAAGGATTGGAAGGAAGGAAGGAAGGAAGGAAGGAAGGAAGGAAGGAAGGAAGGAAGGAAGGAAGGAAAATGACTTTCACAGGAACAGAAAGAAGAGGTTAGTGGTGCCCACCAGCTCCTGTGTAATTATCCATGTTGAAAATCCCACCGCTGTTTACTCAGGAGTAACTTCCCTTCAGTTCCATGGGACTCTCACCTAATAAATTGCGCACAGAATTGGAACCATTTGCTTCCCCCCCCCAAAAAAATCTGGAGGTAGGTTTACCCAGAAGTACACCCACAGGACGATGGGAATTGTAGTCCAATAGAATTAAAACACGCAGTGGGGGGAGGCTAAGCGATGCCCGTTTCAAATATAAAATCAAAAGGAGCTTTGCTGTCTCCTCCGTAAAGCCAGGAAAAAACCAGACACCCAGCATCCACGCGCCCACGTTACTGCATGGTGCCACGTTTTACAGACAGTGACCACGGCCCAAACATTACTTTCCTTTCATCAGCAACCTTTTGCATTAAATAATAATCGAATGATCAATTATTAAACAATTAATAGAGGTAATCAGCCCAACCAGAGCACGAATCATTTCATCCATAGCTTTCTGCTGATTCCTCTGGGGCTGTTCAAGCTTATTCGATGTTCTTAATGCAAAATTGGCATAAATAATGGACCTTATTTCGAAAAACAAGAAGGCATTGTAGAAACGCATAATTTTAAAGGAGCGCGTGCAAAGAGAGATGCTTAGAAATGCTGGTTTCCTCCCTGCAGGTAAACTGAAAGTCCATGTTTATATTCTACCCTTCTTCAAAATAAATATATTTATTTTGGGAGGGAGGGAAAAATATGTTTAGAAGGGTACCCAATTATCCTTTGTTTATTTCATCATTAAATTGGTCATTATTCATGTGCCAGCAATTTTAACCACAATTCTATCACTGCTAACTTTCGATTGAATTCAGTGGGATTTACTTCTGAGCAAACATATTGCCAGTTTTCTCCAAATTTCCAACTTCTGCTGGAAGTCTTAAGAAAATCATTTATTGTCTTTGCTCTAGCACTGGATAAAACCAAATATGCTCTGATGGACCATGAGATCTTTCCTTGGATATATCACATTTGCACACTATGGCTGTGTTCACACATTACATTGACCTATGGTTAATTGAATCATGGTTTATTTGACCCAGCTTTCTGGATTCCAGAAACTGAGTCCTAAACCCCAGAAGGGCTAGGTTTACATAACATACAAGGTTACAATGTGGTTGATTGGTTGGTAGCTTAGTAGCCTCATTCAGATGACCCCTCAATGTGGTTACTGAATTAATGCATTTCCTGGATTTCTATCATTCATTAAACCTAAGATTGTCAAACAGGCTAGGTTCCGTCAACATGACAAGCCAGCAGATCACACAAAACCCTGGTGGTTATCAGATGAATGTGGACAGGCACCAAGTTTGCTTTGTGTTAGCCTTGGTTCATTTCTATAATGGCTTGGCATGTTGTGTGAACTTGGGTTTGTTAATGGTGTGTTCATTTACCAGGTTTAAGAACGCTGGCTGAATGCAGTTTGGTATTTTGGCTGAACTGTTATGTCCAAGGCCATCCATTCTGGTTTCTAAACCTTATCATGGATTTCTGCAAAGCCACAGAAGGCAATCTTCAGAAATCAGGGAAATGAAAAGAAAAGAGGATCAAATTATTCCCATCAGCTGAAGGAGAGGACACACTGTTGGGAGGGGTGGAGAAAACCAGGATAGCTGTGGGACCTTACCCCATGGAAAAACTCCATCAAACAAAATTAGGAGGTGTTATTCACATGCAGACATGCTTAGAAACTTGAACTTTGTCTTCTCCTTTCTCATAAGTAAAATTATGAACTGGGCAGAGCCCAAGAGCTCAAATCAGGTTCCGGAAACCATGTTGTCCACTTAATTTAAACCTGGATGCTGGATCCACCTGGTCTTTTCAAACTGACTTCAATCTCCCAACAACAACCTGGTTACTAAACAGGACCAACCATTTTCTGGAGTCTGTTTGTCCAGGGCATTGCACCTAAACAAATCCAACCATGGATACAAAATGCTGAGCCAGTGGGACCAGACAAACTGCAAATGAACAAGGTTTAGTACATTCTGATAAGGCAGTTTCCAGTTAAGCATGTTTTGTGAACCCAGCCAATAAGTTAGAAATGAGCCAACCCTAGTTTAGCCCAGCTGGGACTCAGGAAGTGTGTGTTTTGTGCAAAGCTGGGGAATTAGAGTCATTGAGGAGACCATGGTTTGATAACCACAGACAAACATATGTGGGAATGCAGCCAATGAAAATAACAGGGGCTTGCCAGTGGAAGGGAGAGCCATTCCACCCCATAGTCACTAAGAAACAAACCCTGATTTGTGATGCTAAATTAGTCACGGTTCAAGATGACTTGGGGACAGTCAAAACACCCACATTTCTGAGTTAGAAAAGTAGTAATAAAAGAATTCGCTGAGATAGCTGTTTTGGGGTGGGTGGGGAATGAGGTTGCAAAATGGGGGGCTGCTGGCCACCCAACCCCGGAAGCCCGGTGAGTGCCAAGTGGGATACTGCTGTTCAGAGAAGATCCAGAAAAAAATCAGTATTCCTTGAAGACCCCTGCGGGAGAACCCCACCTTGGGGAGAAAGAAATGGGATTAACTTCCCATTTACACGCAGTTCCATCTTTGTGCAATCCTGATCCAGCATCACTTTGTTCTGAAAGCAGCTAGTCTCTTTTTCTCATGATGTGGGGGGCCTCAAATTGTCACACAAACAGCCTTTTTAGTGTTGCTTGGACCTTGCCCTGCTTTCTCTGGCCTCCAGAGCACTTTAAACAGCAACTCCCCCCTCCCCATTTATTTCCCTTCTCCTTCTCCTTCTCCTTCTCCTTCTCCTTCTCCTTCTCCTTCTCCTTCTCCTTCTCCTTCTCCTTCTCCTTCTCCGACTTTGTTTCCCTTCATTTCTTACAAATCCTTTTTTTAAAAGGTTCCTTGTGGTCATAAACCCATTTTTGGAGGAGACCAAGGTGAGATGTTTGGATCTGGGCATTCCTGGAGATGACTTGCAATGAAAGTGAGAATCCTTTGCTTCATCCCGTTTTTTATTTTTCTTGAGAATCTCCCTGAGTTCAGAATTGTACAAAAGCCACACCAGTTTTAAAGAGGAACATTGGGCCATTCTTCACAAATTATTATCAGCAATAGTAGTAATTCCTGGTTATTCATTTATATTTGTATCAGAATTATTGCCACTTCCAGCAGTAATAGCTCCTAACAAATTATCGTGATTTTCTATAAAACTGGCATGAATTGTGTTAAATCTGGTTTCTGCCTCCTTACAGAAAGAGCAAGATTATTAATGTTGTCCTTATTATTATTATCATTATGATTACAGTATTATATCCTGGAATTCCTGCAAAGAGGTGGATGTGATATTTATGTTGTCCTCCTAAAAATCCTGCAAACTAGATTACACTAAGATTAGACTTGGAATATCATCAACAAGATCGTGTCTTTGAATCAACACAATTTCTTTCCCAAGGAAAGGATCGACATGGGCAATTTTTGCTCTTCCAAGCAGAGGCTGTTTACATCTTGCACTGGAATAAAAAGACCGAAAGACAATTCCAGAAAAAGTCAGCAATAAGTCGGCAGGGAGGAAAGAATAGCACAGAGACATTTGTGGTAAAAGCAGAAATATTTCCATCCATGAAACAAGGCAGGAAAAATGATTTTTCGGCCTGGAACTTTCCTGTGTCCCTGTTCCCTAAATAGGAACCAGCTTTCCCCATTTTATTTTAGAGAAGGAGATTTTCTAAATGTAAGAGCCGAGGCAATTCGGTCTTCCCTTTCTTTGTCTTCTCCAATTCTCCTTCTCGCTTTTGGCACCCAATTTCCTTCCCGTTCGAAAGCTTCTGCCAGTTGGGAATGGAAACTGGTTTCCTTTAATCCGGTTTGGGCCGTGTACCCCAACCAAGCGAGGCGCAAGGAACGATTGGCAAGTCCTGTCGAAGCCAAGGATGATTAACTTGAGTCCATCTTCTTTCTCTTGTGTGCATGTCTCTGTGTGTTTTTCTCATCTGTTTTCTCTCTTTCTTAAAAGAGAGTGGGTTTATTTGTGCAAATACACACTCTTTTGAACGCAGCCGGGTCGCTTTACATCAGTTGGCTGCGGTTAGTGGGTGAGGGAGTGACAAGAGGCTTTATGGTCAAACATCTTGTGGCAGGTTTTAGAGAAGACACGCGAGTTGATTTCTCTCCGTAGGAAGACAATAATCCACTTAATTGAGCCACGAGGGAGGTGGGAAAACTCTTCAAGCAGAAACACGCCCGAATATCTCTTAAACATGAGATGCGGAAAGGGAAGGAGGCGTTTGCAAACGTTCCTCTCCTTTCCCTGAGATTTATATAAAAATCAACTCTAGGGTGGTGGAGGGGTGGCATTAGAAGCCTGAAATCCTTGCAGAAATTTTGGAAGAGGGGAATTAAAAAATCCGGTTTACAGAAAAAAGGCAGCCATAAGAATGGACGGTGCCAGCCGGCGTCAGTGACTCTCGGGGGCTAGATGTGAAGGGGCAGGGCTGGAAAAGTTGGATCTGGGTTTCAAAGGGCCGGGATGAGATCATGCAGATTCAGGAGTGGGGAGGGGGGAGTCCAGGATTGGGAGTGGGGAAGAAAGGCAAATGTCCAAGTCGAAAGAGGCAAATTG